TGGGGGGGGAAGGGGCGGGGGTTTTAAAAAAAATTAGGGGGAAGAGGGTTATTTATGATGGTATTAAACAGGAAAGTGTTGGTGGACACAAACGTGGCCTGGCCCAACGGACTCTCACTGGACTGGCAGGAACAGGAGCTATACTGGACTGATGCAAGAGCCGACAGAATACAAGCTATCGGGATTGACGGACGCAACAGACGCACCGTAGTTACAGGTGAGGGAAGGAAGAAGGAGATTAGGAGAGAGAAGGTAAGAGAGTAAATAACTGAGTGTGAGAGAAGAAGCAGGCAGAGAGACAAAGATATAATCAGAGAGTGTGTGATACAGAGACAAACACAGCATACAGATACAGTGTACAAGATACAGACACAGTGTACAAGATACAGATACAGTGTACAAGATACAGATACAGTGTACAAGATACAGATACAGTGTACAAGATACAGATACAGTGTACAAGATACAGATACAGTGTACAAGATACAGACACAGTGTACAAGATACAGATACAGTGTACAAGATACAGACACAGTGTACAAGATACAGATACAGTGTACAAGATACAGATACAGTGTACAAGATACAGACACAGTGTACAAGATACAGATACAGTGTACAAGATACAGATACAGTGTACAAGATACAGATACAGAGTACAAGATACAGATACAGTGTACAAGATACAGACACAGTGTACAAGATACAGACACAGTGTACAAGATACAGACACATTGTACAAGATACAGATACAGTGTACAAGATACAGATACAGTGTACAAGATACAGATACAGTGTACAAGATACAGACACAAACTTACGAATGTAGGTTACTTTACATTTTATATTTGCACTGTTGCATATAATACATATATTTGCACTGTTGCATATAATACATGTATTTGCACTGTTGCATATAATACATGTATTTGCACTGTTGCATATAATACATGTATTTGCACTGTTGCATATAATACATATATTTGCACTGTTGCATATAATACATATATTTGCACTGTTGCATATAATACATTATTGCACTGTTGCATATAATACATATATTTGCACTGTTGCATATAATACATATATTTGCACTGTTGCATATAATACATGTATTTGCACTGTTGCATATAATACATATATTTGCACTGTTGCATATAATACATTATTTGCACTGTTGCATATAATACATGTATTTGCACTGTTTGCATATAATACATATATTTGCACTGTTGCATATAATACATATATTTTGCACTGTTGCATATAATACATGTATTTGCACTGTTGCATATAATACATATATTGCACTGTTGCATATAATACATGTATTTGCACTGTTGCATATAATACATGTATTTGCACTGTTGCATATAATACATATATTTGCACTGTTGCATATAATACATAATATTTGCACTGTTGCATATAATACATATATTTGCACTGTTGCATATAAATACATATATTTGCACTGTTGCATATAATACATGTATTTTGCACTGTTGCATATAATACATGTATTTGCACTGTTGCATATAATACATATATTTGCACTGTTGCATATAATACATATATTTGCACTGTTGCATATAATACATGTATTTGCACTGTTGCATATAATACATATATTTGCACTGTTGCATATAATACATATATTTGCACTGTTGCATATAATACATAATTTGCACTGTTGCATATAATACATATATTTGCACTGTTGCATATAAAACATATATTTGCACTGTTGCATATAATACATGTATTTGCACTGTTGCATATAATACATATATTTGCACTGTTGCATATAATACATGTATTTGCACTGTTTGCATATAATACATATATTTGCACTGTTGCATATAATACATGTATTTGCACTGTTGCATATAATACATATATTTGGCACTGTTGCATATAATACATATATTTGCACTGTTGCTATAATACATGTATTGCACTGTTGCATATAATACATATATTTGCACTGTTGCATATAATACATGTATTTGCACTGTTGCATAAAATACATATATTTGCACTGTTGCATATAATACATGTATTTGCACTGTTGCATATAATACATATATTTGCACTGTTGCATATAATACATGTATTTGCACTGTTGCATATAATACATATATTTGCACTGTTGCATATAATACATGTATTTGCACTGTGCATAATAATACATAAATTGCACTGTTGCATATAATACATGTATTTGCACTGTTGCATATAATACATATATTTGCACTGTTGCATATAATACATAATTTTGCACTGTTGCATATAATACATGTATTTGCACTGTTGCATATAATACATATATTTTGCACTGTTGCATATAATACATATATTTGCACTGTTGCATATAATACATATATTTGCACTGTTGCATATAATACATATATTTGCACTATTGCATATAATACATAATATTTGCACTGTTGCATATAATACATGTATTTGCACTGTTGCATATAATACATGTATTGCACTGTTGCATATAATACATATATTTGCACTGTTGCATATAATACATATATTTTGCACTGTTGCATATAATACATATATTTGCACTGTTGCATATAATACATATATTTGCACTGTTGCATATAATACATGTATTTGCACTGTTGCATATAATACATATATTTGCACGTTGCATATAATACATATATTTGCGCTGTTGCTATAATACAGTATTTGCACTGTTGCTATAATACATGTATTTGCACTGTTGCATATAATACATATATTTGCACTGTTGCATATAATACATGTATTTGCACTGTTGCATATAATAAACATATATTTGCACTGTTTGCATATAATACATGTATTTTCACATGTTTGCATATAATACATGTATTTGCACTGTTGCATATAATACATATATTTGCACTGTTGCATATAATACATATATTTGCACTGTTGCATATAATACATGTATTTGCACTGTTGCATATAATACATGTATTTGCACTGTTGCATATAATACATATATTTGCACTGTTGCATAAAATACATGTATTTGCACTGTTGCATATAATACATATATTGCACTGTTGCATATAATACATATATTGCACACTGTTGCATATAATACATGTATTTGCACTGTTGCATATAATACATATATTTGCACTGTTGCATATAATACATATATTTGCACTGTTGCATATAATACATGTATTTGCACTGTTGCATATAATACATATATTTGCACTGTTGCATATGATACATATATTTGCACTGTTGCATATAATACATATATTTGCACTGTTGCATTAATACATATATTTGCATGTTGCATATAATACATGTATTTGCACTGTTGCATATAATACATATATTTGCACTGTTGCATATAATACATATATTTGCACTGTTGCATATAATACATATATTTTGCACTGTTTGCATATAATACATATATTTGGCACTGTTCATATAATACATATATTTGCACTGTTGCATATAATACATATATTTGCACTGTTGCATATAATACATATATTTGCACTGTTGCATATAATACATATATTTGCACTGTTGCATATAATACATATATTTGCACTGTTGCATATAATACATATATTTGCACATGTTGCATAGAATACATATAATTTGCACTGTTGCATATAATACATATTTTGCACTGTTGCATATAATACATATATTTGCACTGTTGCATATAATACATATATTTGCACTGTTGCATATAATACATATATTTGCACTGTTGCATATAATACATATATTTGCACTGTTGCATATAATACATACCAAACATACTTTATTACGCATAATAATCATAATCTTTCTTATTAACGAGTTAAAACTTTCTGAATTAAATTTACAAAGTGAAGTTTAAGCCACATCCGACCTCTAAGATGCTAAGTCTAGACGTTGAGTCTCTCTTTACTAATGTTCCTCTTGGTGATGTTATCAACTTTCTTAAAGTGAAGGTCAGTCAAGGGTTACTTCATGTCCCTGTTACCTCACACAGCAGAGACAGAGTACTGACATAGAGTACACACATGGTAAATTAATGTGGTAAACTACTTAATAAAAATAAAATATTATAAATCATTTATTACCTCAAAAAGACAGTCGTCAATATTATGTTTGTAACAATGAGTGACTGGATCGGAAGTAGCAGCTGGCTATGGCAGTGTCAGCTGTGGCAGTGTCAGCTGTGGGTCAGTGAAGATGGTAGTCTGACAGGAAGCACGCACTCTGAGTAAGGACTCAAAGAGGCAGTCACACAGTCCCTGTTATCAGGGACGGGGTGACCCATCACAGGTACCTGGGCAGCTATTATGGTTTATCAGTAGCTCAGGATAAATTGGTGCCCTCAAACAAAGCAGTCAGAGAAGGACCGGAGTCATCCTCCATGCATATAGATCTACCATGGAAACTTCTGGGTTGTTGGACGAGACAGGAAGGTCACAGTCGGTGCTCTGACACAAACACATGACAGAAGTGATCATTGTAAAATCATTGCATTGTTAGTTAATGGGTGAGTGTTGAGCTTAGTACATACACGGACCACAGTTTGAGTCTCTGTTCTGTTTATTCATGTTAGTGTTTGTTAATGTGTTAGTATTTGTTAAATATGTTGGACGCTTTTAATATTCTTCGTCTGTTAATGTTTAATATGTCTGTGTTAGTTAGTGTGTTAGAATTTAGTATATTAGTATTTGTTAATATTGTTAATATGTTAGTCTTTCTTAAAATGTTAGTGTTAGTTAATATGTTAGAATCTGTAAATATATTTGTCCTTGTTAATACTGTTAATATTTCATTCGTAGTTAATATGTTACTAAGTGGTAAAATGTTAATCTTTGTTAAAATTGTATTATTTGCTAACGTGTTAGGATAATACACAACGCTCGTTGTATATCCGATAAGACATATACAACTCTTCGTGTTTATACAATGTAATCCAAGACTACGTTCATCTCCCGCACAATGCTGTTTCACAGATCTACCTCATCCATACGGCGTGACTGTCCAGGGAAAGTGGATTTATTGGACCGACTGGGAGACCAAATCTCTCAACAGGACACAGAAGAAATCCCATGGCACCATCTACTCCATGCGTGAGGGTCTGGCTGGTCTCATGGACATCAAAGCTCTACCGGTGAATCTCTTATTTAATAATAATAATAATAATAATAATAATAATAATAATAATAATAATAATAATAATAATAATAATAATAATAATAATAATAATAATAATTAATAATAACAACGTTGTGCTTTCGTAAATGGAGCATGACCATGACTGCTGCACTGCCAAAGGTAGTCAGTATTGAGGTATAAATTAGATTAAGATCCTTGGAAGCTACCTTATAATTGCTTCAGGAAAGTATGTCAATATTGAAGATTGGTGAGAGTAATGTTGGTGTCTGGTACAGGGTCCAGCAGCAGGCGATAATGTGTGTGGTGATCATAACGGCAAGTGTTCTCATCTGTGTTTACGCAACCCCGATGGTTACTCCTGCGCCTGTCCCACTGGCCTCACTATGATGAAGGTGAGTACTCACCTAGTTGAGGTTGCAGGGGTCGAGTCCTAGCTCCTGGCCCCGCCTCTTCACTGGTGAGTGTATGTGTGGTGTGTGTGTATACTCACCTAATTGTGGTTGCAGGAGTCGATTCATAGCTCCTGGTCCCGCCTCTTCATTGGTCGCTACCAGATCCACTCTCTCTTTGCTCCCATGAGCTTTATCATACCTCTTCTTGGAGCTGTGTATGGATCCTGCTTCCACTACATTACTCTCCAGACAATTCCACTTCCTGACAACTCTGTGCCTGAAGAAATATTTCCTAACATCCTTGTGACTCATCTGAATCTTCAACTTCCAGTTGTGACCCCTTGTTGCTGTGTCACATCTCTGAAACATCCTGTCCCTATCCACCTTGCCAATTCCTCTCAGTATTTTATATGTCGTTATCATGTCTCCTCCAGTCCCTCCTGTCCTCCGGTGTCATCACGTTGTTTTCCCTTAACCTCTCCTCGTAGGACATACCCTTTAGGTCCTTGACTAGTCTTGTTGCAAACCTTTGCACTTTCTCTAATTTCTTGACGTGCCTGACCAGATGTGGGTTCCAAACTGGTGCTACATACTCCAGTATGGGCCTGACATACACGGTGTAAAGAGTCTTGAACAATTCCTTATGTGTGTGCGTGTGTGTGTGTGTGTGTGTGTGTGTGTGTGTGTGGTGTGTGTGTGTGTGTGTGTGTTGTGTGTGTGTGTGTGTGTGTGTGTGTGCTATTATCGATTTATAAATATGTTGGTAACTACAGTGGTAGAGATATATTCGTGGTGTTCACTCATCAGTCATTTTCTCAACATTCAATATTTTTAGAGAATTATCCCGTGGTTGTAGCGGCTGACAATCGCTCTTCTAACTCACTCCATTGATCCACAACTCTGCTACAACAACTTCGTAAATAACTCCTACTCGACTCTTACATATCAGGGGCCTTTTACAGCCCTTGATACAAATATTAAAAGGTCTTCTTTATCCAGTCTTTTACATTCTTTTATTATCTCAAAACTTGTAATTATGTCTCGTTGTTTGACTTCTACATTATTATAATTATTACAATCATGGGGAGCGCTAAACCCGGAGGATTATATAGCACATGTACGGGTGAGGAGATGAAAGTGTAATAGTTCAGTTAGAGGGAACTGGAGCACAGATCCAGTTCCCTAGATCAAGAGCCCCTCACCAGCGTCAAGGAACCTCCCTTCAGGGGATTAGACTTCTACAGACTAAGACAAACGGTGTTATAGCTGCTGTATATTCATAATTTTGGCCAAACATTTGTTGTGTAAATGTCATTTTAACTTTTTCTCCAACCAAAGACATGACATCTCACAATTACATTAACATGATCTCCAGGTGATCATTTTTATATTAATTTCCATAGTATATTATGTAATTCCTCGTTTATCATATTCAACTCTTCTCTTTTTCTCCAGAATAATTAAACGATGGTTTCTGTACATTGACTATTGTCAGTTTCTCATTTTACACTGATTTTTTCAGTCACTAAAATTAAAAATAAATGTACCACTGCTGATATTTCTGCTTCTCATTTCTCAACTCTGATTTTTCTCATCACTAAGTAATTTCCGTCCAGTATACTCTTATTTATTGTTTTCTAGTTTAATTTATTTAGACAGACTATATCGGGTCACTTTTTATTTACAATATCCCTCGGTACTTGTTTTTTTGAGAAATATTCCATCTATATTAGTATACAAAATATTTACGAATGTGTTTTATGTCACTAATCATTATTTTTTTCGTAAATTCGTTAGGTATCCTCGAAGGAGGATCTTTAGGTTTCTTGATTTTTGTCCTCCTTTCAATTATTAATTTTTATTTCGGTCGTAACACGGGAAGGACTCGTCCAGTTTCAAACTGTCACCTTTAGTGTACGGTAACGGAGGCATTATTCTTGAATCAATTGACATGTTAAGTAAATGGGCACAAATGTAACTAATGTGACGTTTTATTGTGGTAACGTTACGCTCACCAGGAGCTTTGTCAGGTCATTACGAAAATGACAAGACCCACAGTTGTTGAACCCATTTCCAGCATCCTGGAATGGCTCTGACAACTTCCAAAATCCTCTTCTTCACTTCGAACGCTTTGTAAAACAAGGATCCTCTAAATGCGTCGACGGCAGAGAGATATTGAAGACTGTAGGAACACTTATGTTACATCTATCTGTGTACATTCTCTCTCTCTCTTTCTCTCTCTCTCTCTCTCTCTCTTTCTCTTTCTCTCTCTCTCTCTCTCTCTCTCTCTCTCTCTCTCTCTCTCTCTCTCTCTCTCATCTCTCTCTCTCATCTCTCTCTCCTCCTCTCTCTCTCTCTCCTCTCTCTCTCTTCTCTCCTCTCTCTCTCTCTCTCTCTCTCTCTCTCTCTCTCTCTCTCTCTCTCTCTCTCTCTCTCTCTCTCTCTCTCTCTCTCTCTCTCTCTCTCTCTCTCTCTCTCTCTCTCTCTCACTCTCTCTCTCTCTCTCTCTCTCTCCTCTTTCTCTCTCTTATTTGTAAGTTAACATTCTTTCTCGCTCTTGTTTGTTATTGTGTCTGCATACTTGTGTTCTCACACACACACACACATGAACTCTTGTAAAAAACCATACCACGGGCGGGGATAGAATCCGCAATCAGAGAGTCTCAAAACTCCAAACCGTCGCGTTAGCCACTTGGCCAGCTAGCCACAATAAGATTCATCTAACTAGGCATATTTCTACACCATAAAAAGAGACTTGAGCTAGAGTTCGTCACGGCCACGCTAGCTGGAGATTCGTCTGTAAAAACTTGCATTTGTGGTCACAGTGGTGCCTATGCTAACCTTACTATGGTGTAGAAATATACCTAGTTGGACGAATCTTATTGTAGCTAGCTGGTCCAGTGGCTAACGCGACGGCTGGAGTTTTGAGACTCCTGATCGCGGTTCTATCCCACCCGTGGTATGGTATATTGCATTTGTGTCATTACGATTGCATGATGTCACTGCATCTATGGTCCCGCTCAGAACAAAACCTACGCTGTAAGAGGACCGGACAGCTACCTGACTTCGCCGCTAAGGCAATGTTGGACGGATCTCCTGGACACTGAGCCTCTCTGGACGTGCGGTCTTTGGCGCCTCAGCCCGTCGTCCCATTCGACTCGACTTCTCACAAAAAGAAAAATTACTTTTACATCCGACGCATGACTTGGATTCCATCAGTTAGTTGGTGAAGCCTCCGCTTCAGATGGACCGCACTCCAGTGTGTGTGCCTAGGCCCCTCCGCTTAGGGGAGGGACCTCCACAGTGTGTGCCCCTCCAGCTCCAATGGACGTGACCATTGGGCAAGTCTCAAGGACCAGTCGTCCATAGAACCCGTGACATTCAGTGGATAACCGCAAGGCATGAGTAAAACCTCCACTCAAGTGGTCGGTATCTTACCGACGTTGACTGATGGGTTTACCCATGACTAGGGTTTACCGTTGGACTGAGGGTTTACCTCAGTTGACTGAGGGTTTACCACCAGTTGACTGAGGGTTGTCCCCAGTTGACTGAGGGCCTCCCAGTTGCTGGGGTACCACACTCATATCTGCATATGGTTGACCATCAGGATAGGACGTCAATGACTTGATTAGTGACTCGTATGTGACTCGTCATGGAGTTGCTTACTCAGTATGAAGAAATTTTAAAGCAAGTTATTCATAACAAGTGGTAGCTTTCGAGTATAAGTTCAGGTTTGCAGAGTATGAAACATTTTTAGCACAGTTAGAGCCTGGCTGTGTCTGTACAGAGACAGGTGGCATGTCTCTATAGGAGGGTTGTGTCTAAGGAGACAGGTGCAGTGCTTTGTAGTGGTGTCTGTACAGGAGACAGTGCAGTGTCCTCATGTAGTGGGTGGTCTGTACAGAGACAGGTGCAGTGTCTGAGTGGTGTGTCTGTACAGGAAAGTGGCAGTGTCTACTGTAGTGGTAGTGTCTGTACAGAGACAGGTGGCAGTGTCTCTGTAGGTGGGTGTGTCTGTACAGGAGACAGGTGGCAGTGTCTCTGTAGGTGGGTGTGTCTGTACAGGAGACAGGTGGCAGTGTCTCTGTAGGTGGGTGTGTCTGTACAGGAGACAGGTGGCTGTCTTATCTGCAGGTGGCTGTGTCTGTACAGGAGACAGATGGCAGTCTATCTGCAGGTGGGTGTGTCTGTACAGGAGACAGGTGACTGTCTATCTGCAGGTGGGTGTGTCTGTACAGGAGACAGGTGGCTGTGTCTGTACAGGAGACAGATGGCAGTCTATCTGCAGGTGGGTGTGTCTGTACAGGAGATAGTTGGAAATGTATCTGCAGGTGGCTGTGTCTATACAGGAGACAGGTGGCAGTCTATCTGCAGGTGGGTGTGTCTGTACAGGAGACAGGTGACTGTCTATCTGCAGGTGGGTGTGTCTGTACAGGAGACAGGTGGCTGTGTCTGTACAGGAGACAGGTGGCTGTCTATCTGCAGGTGGCTGTGTCTGTACAGGAGACAGGTGGCTGTCTATCTGCAGGTGGGTGTGTCTGTATAGGAGACAGGTAGCAGTCTATCTGCAGGTGGGTGTGTCTGTACAGGAGACAGGTAGCAGTCTATCTGCAGGTGGGTGTGTCTGTACAGGAGACAGGTGACTGTGTATCTGCAGGTGGGTGTGTCTGTACAGGAGACAGGTGGCTGTCTATCTGCGGGTACAAGGAGTGAAGGCTCAGTCCTCCCATCCAGTTATACTTTCTTTCAAGCTAAGCTTTGTATCCATTAGATGCAACGCTGTATGACTCTTGTGGGTTTAGCGCTTAGAGCCTCTACCATTCCTTGCGCTGAGCCCAACGGGTTTAGAGCTTCTCGTATATTGTGCACAATGAGTATGTCTACAATAATCCACAGGTTGCTTTTGTTACTTGTACAGAGTTGTCTCCCTGAAGAACATGTCGCATCCGTGGACCATCTTGTCCCCGGGAGACGTCACGCCAGACGGTCTGGCAGTGGACTGGCTAGCGGACAATATCTACTGGACAGATGCTGGGGATAAGGCCGTCAAGGTGGCTAGACTGGACGGTACCTCACAGAAAACCATAATTAACAGCCAGTTACTGGAACCCAGAGCCATCGCTGTCTTCCCCAGTGATGGGTAAGTTCAATATTAAGATACATGCAAAACAACCACTGTGAAAGAAAAATGAAATTCCAAGCGCTTTCGTAACTTCTCACATTATCAAGGAAATCATAGTTCCTTGATATTGTGAGAAGTCATGAAAGAGCTGGAATTTCGCTATTTTTTCACAGTGGTTGTTTTGCATAATAAATAAATATATATATATATATATATATATATAATTATATATAATATATATATATATATATATATAAATATATATATATATATTTATATATAATATATATATTATATATAAATATATATATAATATATATATATATAGTATATTAATATATATATTATAGTATTGATCATCCATCAATCTTGAAGAAATGGTATTTGAGGTTGTAGTCCCTCAGCCTGGAGAAGAGTTCAGTCCCACGGGGTTGAACTCTTCCACAGGCTGAGGGACTCACAACCTCAAATTCTTTTTCTTCAAGATTGATGGACTAATTACATAAATATATTTATGCAGAACAATCACTGTGAAAAAATAGCGAAATTCCAATGTTTTCGGAATTTCTCACATTATCGAAGAACTATAAAAATAAAAGATTAACATGAAAGCATATAAGGATGGAGACTACACCTCACTGCCACCCACAACAACACCTGACTTTATGATGATATAGATAAGTAGTCAGTTATCCCTGAAACACAGCTTATATCCTACCCAAACAATTTTTCTAATGTACCTTAAATTCTTCCCAAATTTTACTAATTATAAATGAATCCAGTTTATATAAACCCAAAGAAATATTCATAACATTTTCAAAACTGCTTTTTATGAAACATGATTCAGTCATGTTCGTGTCGACCATGGACTTGACATAATTTTCATATCCTTTTAAAAATCAATTGGATGGTTAAAATCTTTCACATGAAAAAACAGATCATTAGAATCTTGTCCATTTCTAATGTTATATTTATGTTGTTTTAATCTTAGTTCGAGACTTTTACCAGTTTGACCGTAATAAACTTTATCACGTATTTTACCAGGAATCTTACACACGCATCCTATCAGCATTTTGGGGAATTTTGTATCAATAGTTTTTAACTGTGTTAAGATTTTTGAATGCAACTTTGATATTAAGAGTCTTAAGTAGAGAAGGAATATCAACCAAGTTCTTATAGTAAGGGAGAATAATATATTTTTAGTTGAATAAGGTTGGTTGTGGATTGTCACCAGCGTGTCACTGGCGGTGCTAGGACTGCCACTAGTGTCACTGGCGGTGCTAGGACTGCCACTAGTGTCACTGGTGGTGCTAGGACTGCCACCAGTGTCACTGGTGGTGCTAGGACTGCCACCAGCGTGTCACTGGTAATGCTAGGACTGCCACCAATGTGTCACTGGTAGTGCTAGGACTGCCACTAGTGTCACTGGTGGTGCTAGGACTGCCACCAGTGTGTCAGTGGTGGTGCTAGGACTGCCTCCAGTGTCACTGGCGGTGCTAGGGTTGCCACCAGTGTCACTCGCGGTGCTAGGACTGCCACCAGTGTCACTGGTGGTGCTAGGACTGCCACCAGCGTGTCACTGGTGGTGCTAGGACTGCCACCATTGTCACTGGCAGTGCTAGGACTGAGACCAGTGTCACTGGCGGTGCTAGAACTGCCTCCAAGGTGTCATTGGTGGTGCTAGGACTGCTACCAGTGTCACTGGTGGTGATAGGACTGCTTCCAGGGTGTCACTGGCGGTGCTAGGACTGCCACCAGTATCACTGGTGGTGCTAGGACTGCCACCAGCGTGTCACTGGTGGTGCTAGGACTGCCACCATTGTCACTGGCGGTGCTAGGACTGAGACCAGTGTCACTGGCGGTGCTAGAACTGCCTCCAAGGTGTCATTGGTGGTGCTACGACTGCTACCAGTGTCACTGGTGGTGATAGGACTGCCTCCAGGGTGTCACTGGCGGTGCTAGGACTGCCACCAGTGTCACTGGTGGTGCTAGGACTGCCACCAGCGTGTCACTGGTGGTACTAGGACTGCCACCAGTGTCACTGGCGGTGCTAGGACTGAGACCAGTGTCACTGGCGGTGCTAGAACTGCCTCCAAGGTGCATTGATGGTGTTAGGATGCTACACTGTCCACTGGTGGTGATAGGACTGCCCCAGGTGTCACTGGCGGTGCTAGGACTGCCACCAGTGTCACTGGCGGTGCTAGGACTGAGACCAGTGTCACTGGCGGTGCTAGAACTGCCTCCAAGGTGTCATTGGTGGTGCTACGACTGCTACCAGTGTCACTGGTGGTGATAGGACTGCCTCCAGGGTGTCACTGGCGGTGCTAGGACTGCCACCAGTGTCACTGGTGGTGCTAGGACTGCCACCAGCGTGTCACTGGTGGTACTAGGACTGCCACCAGTGTCACTGGCGGTGCTAGGACTGAGACCAGTGTCACTGGCGGTGCTAGAACTGCCTCCAAGGTGTCATTGATGGTGTTAGGACTGCTACCACTGTCACTGGTGGTGATAGGACTGCCTCCAGGGTGTCACTGGCGGTGCTAGGACTGCCACCAGTGTGTAACTGGTGGTGCTAGGACTGCCTCCAAGGTGTCACTGGCGGTGTCAGAACACCCTCGGTCGTGTCACTTTCGGTGGTAGGACCGCCATTGGCGTTGCCATCATGCTCACTAGTGTGTCACTGGCGGTGCTAGGATGGTTACTAGTGTGTCACTGGCAGTACCAAGATAGCCACAAACGTGTCACTTGCGGTACTAATAAGGCCACTAGAGTGTCACTGGAGAATTTAGGAGGGCTACCAGAGTGTCACTGGCACTGCTAGGACTTCCACCAGCGTGTCACTGGCTGTGCTATGACGGTCTCTAATGTGTCACTTCGGTACCAAGATGGCTAGAAGCATGTCACTTCGGTATCGAGATGACCAGAAGCATGTCACTTCGGTACCGAGATGACCAGAAGCGTGTCACTTCGGTATCGAGATGACCAGAAGCATGTCACTTCGGTACCGAGATAACCAGACGCATGTCACTTCGGTACCAAGATGGCTAGAAGTATGTCACTTCGGTATCAAGATGGCTAGAAGAGTGTCTCTGGCGGTACTAGAACACCCATTATTGTGTTACTGGCGGTGCCAGGATGGTGACGAGAGTGTCACTGGCGGTACTAAGACGGCCACGAGAGTGTCACTGGCTGTACTAGGACGGTGAAGAGAGAGTCATTGGCAGAGCCAGGAGGGTGACGAGAGTGTCACTGGCGGTGCCAGGATGGTGACGAGAGTGTCACTGGCGGTGCCAGCATGGCCATTAGTGTGTAACTGACTTTGCTAGGACGACCGCTAGTACTCGCCTAATTGTACTCACTTAATTGTAGTTGCAGGGGTCGAGACTCAGCTCCTGGCCCCGCCTCTTCACTGAACGCTAATACGGCCTCTCTCTCCCTGCTCCATGAGCTTTATCATACCTCGTCTTAAAGCTATGTATGGTTCCTGCCTCCACTACATCGCTCGGCAGAGTGTTCCACTTTCTGACCACTCTATGACGAAGAAATGCTTCCTAACGTCCCTGTGACTCATCCGAGTCTTCAATTTCCAAGAGTGACCCCTTGTTTCTGTGTCCCCTCTCTGGAACATCTTGTCTCTGTCTACCTTGTCTATTCCACGCAGTATTTTGTATGTCGTTATCATGTCTCCCCTATCCCTCCTGTCCTCCAGTGTCGTCAGACCGATTTCCCTCAACCTTTCTTCATAGGACATTTTCCTTAGCTCTGGAACTAACCTTGTCGCTAAGCACTTTCTCTAATTTCTTAACGTGTTTGACCCGGTGAGGGTTCCAAACTGGTGTTGCATACTCCAGTATGGGCCTGACGTACACGGTGTACAGTATCTTGAAAGATTCCTTACTTAGGTATCGGAATGCTAATCTCAGGTTTGCCAGGCGCCCATATGCTGTGGCAGTTATCTGGTTGATGTGTGCTTCCGGAGACATGTTTCGTTGTTATATTCACGCCAAGATCTTTCTCCTTGAGCGAGGATTGCAGTCGTTGGCCACCTAGCCTATACTCTGTCTGCAGTCTTCTTTGCCCTTCTCCGATCTTCATGGCTTTGCATTTGGCAGGGTTGAATTCAAGAAGCCAGTTGCTGGACCAGGTGTCCAGTCTGTCCAGGTCTCTTTGAAGGCCTGTCTGATCCTCATCCGATTTAATTCTCCTCATTAATTTCACATCATATGCGAACAGGGACACTTCTGAGTCTATCCCTTCCATCATGTCATTCACATATACCAAAAATAACACTGGTCCTAGGACCGACCCCTGTGGGACCCCGCTCGTCACAAGTGCCCACTGTGATACATCATTACGTACCATCACTCCTTGTTGCCTCCCTGTCAGGTATTCTCTGGTCCTTTGAAGCGCCTTTCCTGTTATACGCGCCTCATCCTCTAGTTTCTGCACTAATCTCTTGTGAGGAACTGTTTCGAAGGCCTTCTTGCAATCCAAGAAGATGCAATCAACCCACCCCTGTCTATCATCTCTTACTTCATCTCTTACTTTATCATAAAACTCCAGAAGGTCTGTGACACAGGATTTGCCTTCCATGAAACCGTGCTGGTTGTCATTTATACTTTTGCTTCATTTCAGGTGCCCCACCACTCTCCTCCTGATAATCTTCTCCATGACTTTGCATACTATACACGTCAGTGACACAGGTCTGTAGTTTAGCGCCTCTTTTCTGTCTTCTTTTTATAAAAATGAGAACTACATTTGCCGTCTTCCATACCTCAGGTAGTTGCCCAGTTTCAAGGGATATGCTGAAGATTGCGGTTAATGGGACACACAGCATTTCTGCTCCCTCTCTAAGGACCCACGGGGAGATGTTGTCCGGTCCCATTACCTTTGAGGTATCAAGGTCACTTAGCAGCTTCTACACGTCCTCCTCAGTTGTGTGTATGTCATCCAGCACTTGTTGGTGTATTCCCTGTTGGTGTCCCCCTCTGTCCTGTCTTCCCAGAGTCCTTCCTGTCTCCACTGTGAATACTTCCTTAAATCTCATGTTGAGCTCCTCACATACCTCTTGGTCATTTCTTGTGAGTTCCCCACCTTCTTTCCTCAGCCTGATCACCTGGTCTTTGACTGTTGTCTTTCTCCTAATGTGGCTATACAGCAGTTTCGGGTCAGACTTGACTTTTGATGATATGTCGTTTTCGAACTGTCGCTGGGCCTCCCTCCTTATCTGTGCATACTCGTTTTGGCTCTTCGACTAATCTCCTTATTTTCCTGGGCTCTTTGCTTTCTGTACCTTTTCCTTTCTCTAGTTCACTTAGTTTTTGCCTCCCTACACCTTCGGGTAAATCAAGGACTCGCTTTGGTCTTCCCATTATTTCTGTTGCTCTTAGGAACAAACCTTTCCTCTGCCTCCTTGCATTTTGTTGTTACATATTCCATCATTTCGTTTACTGACTTTCCTACCACTGAACCTCCTGCAGGAGGTTCCTCATACCTGTATAGTCCCCCCTTTTATAGTTTGGCTTTCCCCAATCGACTCCTGTTACCCTCTCCACTTGCAGCTCTGCTATGTAATCAAAACTCAGAAGCACGTAATCGCTAGCTCCAAGAGGCCTCTCGTATGTGATGTCCCCAATGTCTGAACTGCTCAGGGTGAACACAAGGTACAGTCTTGCTGGTTCATCCTCCCCTCTCTCTCTCTGGTAGTGTCCTTAACATGTTGATGCATGAGGTTTTTCAGTACCACATCATCATCTTGGCTCTCTTTGTGTCAGGACCAGTGTGAGGTTCCAGGTTTTCCCAGTCGATCTCCCTATGGTTGAAATCACCCATAACCAGTAACTTTGCTCTGCACGATTAAGCTCTTCCGGCCACTTCAGCCAGTGTGTCCACCATTGCTCTGTTGTTCTCTTCATATTCCTCTCTTGGCCTCCTGCAGTTCTGTGGTGGGTTATACATCACTGCAATGACTACCTTACGTTCCCCAGACTAAACTGTACCTTCTATGTAATCCCTTTCTCCAATCTCGTCCATGCCTTCCATTTCCTCAAAACCCCGTCGGTTTTTTTATGAATAGTGCAACCCCCTCGTTCCCCTCTGCTCCTTCTGTCTTTCCTCAGGATCTGATATCCTGGTGGGAAGACTGCGTCTGTTATTGTCTCATTGAGTTTCGTTTCTGTGACTGCTGTGATTTCTGGGGACTTCTCATTGATTCTTTCATGCCACTCCTCATATTTATTTGTTAATCCATCTGACGGTGTTATGACGGCCACTAGTGGCACTGACGGTGCTAGTACGTTACTAGTGTGCCACTGGCGGTGCTAGGATGGCCAGTAGAGTGTCAGTGGCGGTGCTATGATGGCGTGTAGTGTGTCACTGGCGGTGCAATGATGGCGTGTAGTGTATCACTGGCTATGCTAGAACGGCACGAGAGTGTCACTCGCGGTGCTAGGACTGCTAAGAGTGAGTCATTGGCGGTTCTAGGTCTGCCACAAGCCTGTCACTAGAGGTGCCAGGACTGTCACAAGCATAACACTGGCTGAGCCAGGATGGTCAGCGGCACGTCACTGGTGGTACCAGGAGGGACACTGGCGTGGCACCGGCGGTAATAGGACGGCCAAGAGAGTCTCAGGTGGTGCCATAGCGGTCACAAGCGTGTCACAAAGGGTGCTAGGGCGGGCACTAGTGAATAACTGTCAGTGCCACAAATACCAAAAGAGTGTCAATGGTGGAGTTAAAATGGCCATCATAAGACGGATAATTGTGTACAACCGGTGCCATAACGGCTACGAACGTGTCACTGGTGGTCCTAGGATTGCCACCACCGTGTCAACGGTAGTCCTAAGACTGCCACCAGCGTGTCACTGGTTGCTGCCAGTGTGACTGGTAGCAACCAGTCACACTGGTAGCAATCTTAGCACCACCAGTGTGACTGGTGGTGCTAAGATTGCCAGCAGAGTGACACTGGTGGTGTTAGGCTGCCACCAGCATGTCACTGGGTGTGCTAGGACTGCCTCCAGCGTGTCACTGGCGGTGTTAGGACTGCCACTAGCCTTTCACTGGTGGTGTTACGACTTCCACCAGCGTGTCACTGGCGGTGCTAGGGCTGCCACCAGCCTGTCACTTGCGGTGTTAGGACTACCTCCAGCGTGTCACTGGCGGTGCTATGACTGCTGACTAGCGTGTCACTGGCGGTGCTAGGACTGCCATCACCCTTTCACTGTTGGTGCTAGGACTGTAACCAGCGTGTCACTGGTGGTTCAAGGACTGCCTCCAGCGTGTCACTGGCGGTATTAGGACTGCGACTAGGGTGTCACTGGCGGTGCTAGGACTGCAACTAGAATATTACTGGCGGTGTCAGGACTGCCCCCAGCGTGTCACCGGTGGTGCTAATATTCCCAAGAGAGTGTCATTTGTCGTGATAATGGGGGCAGTTTGTCGTTCGGGGTGCTAGCACTGCCCCCAGGGGTGTCCCCCCTGATGATGCAAAGAACTGGCACCTGCGTTTTCATTTGGGGTGAAAAAAACCGCCAGGAGCGTCTTTCGGGTTGGTGATAGGATGCCACCAACCTGTCATTGGGGGGTTTTTTAAAAAACTGCCCCCCAGGGGTGCCATTAGTGGTACTTGGACTAGGGACCTTCGTGCCCATAGCAGGCAGGACTGCCTCCAGCGTGACCTGGGGTGCTAGGTTTGCTTCCGCGTGTAAACAGCGGGAAAGGGTTGCCCCTGCGTGCCACTGGGGGTACTAGGACTGCCTCCAGCTTGTCACTGGGGGTTTGAAGGACGGGAACCCCTGCGTGTCACTGGGGGTGCTAGGATTGCCTCCTGGTTTCACTGTGGGTACTAGGAACCCTCCAGCTTTGGTCACGGCGGGCAAAGGCCCTGACCCCCTGGGGTGCCCCTAGGGCCCGGGGGCTAGGACTGTTTCCCTGCGTGTCACTGGCGGTCCCAAAAGACTCCCCTCCACGTGTCACGGGGCTGTGCTGGGGACTGCCTCCAGCGTGTCTTTGGCTTTTTGCGGGATTTGTTTCCCGCGTGTCACTTGTGGTGCTAGGAGGGCCCCTTCCAGCCTGCCCACTGGTGTGCTGGGGGACTGCCCCCCAGCGTGTCACTGGCTGTGCTGGGGACTGCCTCCTGCGTTTTCCTCTGGCGGGCCGGACTGTCCCCTTCGTGTCATGGGGGTTTTGGAAAGGGACGGCCTTCTGCGTGCCCACTGGTGGTGTTTAGGACTGCCCCGGCGTGTCACTTGCGGTGCTCGGACGGCCTCCTGTGTGTCACTGGGGTGCTAGGACCCTTTCCCTCCCATGTCACGGTGTTGCTGGGGAACTGCCTCCTGTGTGCCCACTGGTGATTGGGGGACACCTCCGTTTGCCCAATGGCGGTGCTGGGGAACTGCCAATGGCTTGTAAATAGGTTGCTAGGATTTTCCTCCTGCTTATCCTTCCGGTCTAGGACTGCCCCCAAACGTGCCCACGGGAAAAGCTAGAACTGCCTCCACGTGTAAATTGGCAGTGCTAAGACCCCAAACTAGCGGGCAAGGGCAGTGAAAGGATTTGGGCAGAAGCTTTGCCCCGGTTGGGCTAATATTTGCCAAGAGATTTTCCCACAACACGCTGGATTCCCAAAGAGATTGTCACTGGTGGGGGCAAGACTCCCACCGCGTGTCAGGGGTGGTGCAAAGGGACTGCCCCCACGGTCACGGGTGGTCCCTAAACTCCCAAACCCGGGCGTGTCTTTGGCGGTGCTAGGACTCCCCTCCAGTCTTTCATTTCCCGGTGTTTGGACGCCCCCCACCCGTGTCCCGGGGGGTGCTAGGCCCTGCCCCCGGTTTGGGCTCTGGGGGGAAAGGACTGCCTCCTTCGTGCACGGCGGGCGGGGTTGCCCTTCGTAACACTGGCATCTAGGACGGGCCTCCTGTATGTCCGGGGGTGCTAGGCGCCTTTTTTGGGTTTTTCACTTGTGGGCTAAGACGCCTCCTTTCGTGTCACGGGCCCGGTTTCTAGGACCCCTTTCCCCCCCCCCGTATCACGGCAGTGCTAGGACGGCCTCCGGGTTGTAAACTGGCGGTGCTGGGGTTTGCCTTTTCGTGTCCTTGTGGTCTGGGGATGCCTCTTGCGTGTCCTGTTGGTGCTAGGACGGGCCTCCTTGTGTCTTTTGGCCCGGTGCTGGGTTTGTCTTTTCCCGTGCCCACTTTTGGGTTTGGTTTAGGACCCCTTCTGCGTGTCACTGGGGGGTGCTGGGACTGCCTCTTTTGTGTCACGGCGGGGCTAGGATTCTCTCTTGCATTTTAAATTTTGGTTTGATGGGACTGCCTCCTTCGTGTCACTGATAGTGCTAGGACTGCTTCCTTTTGCCCACTGGCGGTGCTAGAGGGGTTCCTCTTGCGTGTCACGCTGGTGCAAGGACTGCCTCCTGCGTGTCCCCGGTGGTGCTAGGACTGCCTCCTGCATGTCACTGGGGTGCTAGGACTGCCTCCAGGGGTGTCCACTAGGGGTTCTAGGACGCCTCCTTTATTGTCACTGGCGGTGTTGGACTGCCTCCAGTGGTAAATTTTTGGGGTCCCTATGACTCCCTCATGCGGGGCTACGGCGGTGTGGGACTGTACGCGGTCACTAGCCGTGTGGACTCTCTCCATCGTGTCACTGTCGAGGCTAAGACTGCCACAGACGTGTCACTGGTGTTGATAGGATTGCCAAGATCGTGACACTGGTGTTGCTAGGACTGCTACCAGAGTGTCACTGGCGGTGCTAGGACTGCCTCCAGCGTGTCTCTGGCGGTGCTAGGATAGCTTCCAGCGTGTCACTGGCGGTGCTAGGACTGCCTCCTGAGTGTCTCTGAAAGTGCTAGGACTGCCTCCTGAGAGTCATTGGTGGTGCTAGGACTGCCCCCTTCGTGTCACTGGTGGTGCTAGGACTGACTCCTTCGTGTCACTGGTGGTGCTAGGACTGCCTCCTGAGTGTCGCTAGCGGTGCTAGGACTGCCTGCAGCGTGTCATTGGCGGTGCTAGGACTGCCTCCTGCGTGTCTCTGGTGGTGCTAGGACTGCCTCCTTCGGGTCACTGGCGGTGCTAGGACTGCCTCCAACGTGTCACTGGCTGTGGTGGAATTGCGTCCAGCGTGTCACTGGCTGTGCTAGGACTGCCTCCAGCGTGTCACTGGCTGTGCTAGGACTGCATTCAGCGTGTCTCTGGCGGTGCTAGGACTCCCTGCAGCGTGTCACTGGCTGTGCTAGAACTGGCTCCAGCGTGCCAGTGGCTGTGCTAGGACTGCGTCCAGCGTTTCACTGGCTGTGCTAGGACTGCCTCCTGCGTGTCACTGGCTGTACTAGGACAGCCTTCTGCGTGTCACTGGTGGTGCTAGGACTGCCTCTAGCGTGTCACTTGCGTTGCTCGGACTGCCTCCTGCGTTCACTGGCGGTGTTAGAACAGCCTTCTGCATGTCACTCGTGGCGCTAGGACTGCCTCCTGTGTGTCACTGGCGGTGCTAGGACTACCTCCTGTTTGTCAAGGGCGGTGCCAAACTCCCAAAATGCTGTAAACTAGTGGTGCTGGAAATTCCTCCTGGGGTTTCATTCCCGGTTTGCTAATACGGGCCCCTCCAACGTGACATTTGGGGGTTTGCTAGGACGCCTCCAGCGTCCCCACTGGCAGTGTTTAAGATTTGAAAATAGCTTTGTCAATGGCGTGCCGGGACTGCAACTAGCGTGTAAACTGGCGTGTTTGGACTGGCAAAACGTGTAAACCGGGTTGGGGCAAATCCGCCAAGGGGAGGGGTCATTTAAAGCGCTGGAGTGCCAGAAGATTTTTCACTGGTGGTGCAAAAGACTGCCGCCAGCGTGTAAATTGGTGGTGCTAAGACTCCCCAAAACAGGTGTCTTGGGGGTTTCCCAAAGGATTTGCCTCCGGGTCTGTCATTTGCGGGGGTAGGACTGCCTCCTTCGTGTAAACTGGGGGGTGCTGGGGAACGGCCTCCTCTGTATAACTTTGGTTCTAGGCGTTTCCTTGTGTCATGGGGGTCCCGGACGGCTTCCTGCGGGGTCAAAAAGGCGGGGGTTTAAAAACTGCCTCTTGGAGTCACTGGGGGTTTGGTGGGGTTTTTGCCTCCTTCGTGTCACGGCGGTGTTTTTTTTTAGGATTTGCCCTTCCAGATTTGTCACTTTTTTCCCCCCCCCCCCCCCCCCCCCCCCTAGGACTGTTTCCCTTTTCGTGTAACTGGTGGTTGCTGGGAAAGGGGCTTCCTTTGCTTTGTCATTTGCGGTCCCTAGAACTGCCCCCCGCGTGTCATTGGATGTGTTTAGGTCTGCTCCATCGTGTACACCGGTTTCCCCTTCAAAGGACTGCCTCCAGGGTTCACTGGCTGTGCTATGACGGGTTTTACAGCGTGTCTCGGGCGGTGCTAAAGACGGGCCTCCGGGCTTTTTCCCCGGCGGTGGGGGACTGCCTCCTGCGGCCCACGGGCGGTGTATGGGAAGCCTCCTGGGGTTGCATTGGTTGCTTGGACTGCCTCCGGGCGAGTCACGGGGGTTTGGGTTTTGGCTCCGCGTGTCACTGGCGAGGGTTTGGACTCCCTCCTACTTGTCTCTGGGGGTTTGGCTAAAAAACTCCCCCCGGGCGTGTCACGGGTGGTCCCTGGGGACTGCCTCCTGGGGGTGTCACTGGGGGTGCGGGAATACCTCCTTTTTTGTAATGGCGGTGCAAAGGACTGCCTAATCCGTTTTCACTAGCCCTGCTATAAGTGCCCCCCTGCTTTGTCTCTAGCTTTGCTAGGGCCTGCCTCAAGCGTGTCGCAAGCGGTCTAGAAAAAAGGGTTTTTTTTGGTGGTGCTGAAACCGGGGG